TGCACACGAATTGACAGCCTTAAAAACCCTCTAGGCAGATCTACTCTATCCTTTAGGGTTGCTAAGAGCTGGAATTGACTTGATGGCAGTGGATGAGGTCTGTTCCCTGAGAAATAATGGATTTGTATTTTATTCCCTCTATTTCAGTTATTTTTTGAAGGTGTGTTCTTTGACCTGATTCCTAATCTAAGAGTAGACTATGAAGCAAGGGAGAGACTTAGAATGCTGGAGACTACAGTCACGGAGAGTTAGGTTAATTTAACTAAAAACCAAGCAGTAACCAGAGCTTTCTGTGGTAAAGAGAGACACAGCAGAGAGACACAGACGAGCCATTGGCAACACACAAATGCGACTTGTGAAAACATTTATAAGTCAATTGGAATGCAGACTGCACATTTTTACAAGACAACTAATAAATGATGGTTAGATGCCCATGAAAGGCTATCATGAGGTTGAAACTGTAATTATGATGGGTTAAATAGCTATTGGTAAACTGACATGTAAATCTAGGTAAAAATTTTGAGGAAATTGTATTCTTAGGAAGGAACTTTACTGACCACACTCTTTAGAGACATAGATAGGGAAAGGAGGTGGGTTCTTCCCTAATCCAGAGGAATTTAAGGCTTGCTTTGTAATCCTTTTTCTACACACCCCTCCCCACTCCCATCCCCTCTTCTACACAGTGTTCACACACAGATTTGCATAGTTAACACTTACAAAGGCAGCTTGTTACCAACTCTACTAATTTTCTTTCACTCATTCAATAATTCAAAAGATTATTTATTGACAACTCACTATGGACCTGACCCACTGGTCTAGGAGCAGGGAACAGAAGAGAGAAAAAGTCCTGTCCTAAAGTTTACTTCTCCTGGTCAGCAGTCAATAAACAAGTAAATTATTCAGGATGCAAAAGGTGGAGGAAGAAGGTGCACTTTGCCCTCAAAACAGTGGTCAAGGAACACCTCTGGGAGATGACCTTTGGGCAGAGGGCTGAAGGAGGTCATGAGATGAGCCACAGCTGCGTGGAGGCAGCAGCACTGTGTCAGGCAGGCAGGGCATCCTGGCACGTGGGAGGAACAGGAGCTGGAGGACAGTAGAGTAGAAAGGCCAGAGAAGTGGCTCCAGCCAGCTCACATACAGCGCTGTAGGTCATAATAAGGATTTTGGCTTTAGTATGAGTGAGAAGGGAAGTTGCTAGAGGGTTTTGAGCACAAGAGAAACATGACCTAACTTACGATAAATCAGGAAAGAGATAGTGTCTTGGTAGTAAGAAGTGGTGATAGACAAGCTAAGAAGGGACAAGATCTGAGATATCTGAAGGTGGAGCCGACAGAGTTTGCTAATGATTAGATGTGGGGTGTAAGAGAGAGAAGAATCGAGGATGGCATACATTTCTTTCTTTCTTTTTTTTTTTGGTGTGGAAAACTGGAAGGGTGGAGCTGCCGTTTACTGAGATAGGGAAGACTGTGGGGGAGCAGGTCTGGGAGAGAGTGGGCATTCTGACAACAGTAACAAGGCATCAAGGAAGTCCCACCCCAGCTTTGACAGCAACTTAGATGGTCAGCATGGCACCATTCAACCCTTCAGAGGCAGAGCTGCATTCTTCCCCCAAGATCCCAGTGACTATCACATTAGAATCACATGGGATGCTGGTTAAAATGCAAATGCCCAGGGCCCAGTTTTGTTGTTGTTGTTAGGTGCCACTGAGTTGGTTCTGACTCATTGCAACCCTATGTATAACAAAATGAAACGCTGCCCAGTTCTGTGCCATGCTCACAATCATTGCTATACTTGAACACATCATTGCAGCCACTGTATCAAACCAATTCTAGTTCTTTATGGGTGGGTCCCAGGAATCTGCATTTTAGAATTTCCCAGGTGATTTTTGATGCTGCTGATGTTGATGCTAGTACTCAGCACGAGC